CCCTCCTCAAGCTCCTTTAGGGTCCTTTACTCAAGCTCCTTTAAATCACTATGATCCGGATACTCGAGATTCGATACCGCAAAATCGATCATATCACTATGCTCCGGATACTCGAGATTCGATACCGCAAAGACGATCATCTAGAACTGATCGCAGAAATATTAACGACATTTAATCACATCCCGAATTATTTTCAACTAATTTTTTTCAAATTTTCTTTATACATCATTTTATAGATTTAAAAACTTTTTTTATATTGTATATGTAATTAAAGAAAAATAAAAAAAATTTTTTTTTCATAAATCTCGATCGAATTTTTATTTTTTAATAATCTATAAACAATATCTTAGCAATTATAAACGAAATTACCACCACAATAAAAACATTTTTCGCTTACTACTAAAATAGCTTTAAAAAATTTTGATTTCATAAATGATTCGTCGCTGGATATGATTTGATTTGCATTTGTTATATCAAATGATTTACGTTTACATATGCTACACGATTTTATAAACTTATTGGAAAGAATATTTAACGTTATAGAACATCGTTCTATAAATTGAAGGAAATGTAAGTTGCTAGAAAAAGGATTTCTTGAAAAAAAAAAAAAAGGAGAAAAATTGAAGTTACCCCAGAGATGTCCTTTCTCACAAACGCCTTTAAATCCAGGTCCTAAAGAAACGCGTAATGAACATAAAACAAAATTAATATATATTAAGAATATAATCACTAATTTTTAATCTTTAAAGAAATCCTTATTTTCTTTCAATTGGATTAACAATAAAAAAGGATATTTGTTTGACACAGCGGACAAGATTCTCTTGCAGGAATCTTTAATTTCCTCGTTTTTGAAAACTTTTTAGATGAAATAATCTTGACAGTCCAATTTATTTCATTATCCAAATCCCTAAATATTTTTCTTGTTGCGTTTCCTTGTAATCCGTTTAAGCATTCATAAATTATCTTTGCATAGCTTAATAAATTTTCTTCGGTCTGATTATATATTAATACCCAGTCGCATAAATTTAATATAAATATTTGATCCCTTTCTATAAGAGAAAAAATAAGTTAAAAGATAATTGAATAAATAATATTATTTTGTAAAAACAAATCTTGTTTCTTACCATTAACAATTAAATCACGTTGAAGGCAATATGCAATTGTATCTAATACCTTTTCCAAAAAATATTTCATCAGGGTAGACACTTCATATTGGACTTTATTTTGAATCTCGATACTTTCTTCTCCATTAAATTCTAACCGCTAAAACAAGAAATCAAAGTTAACTAAATTAAATCTCATAAAACTTTTTGAATATTTTCAAAATCACATACCGAAGTGTTATTATAAAGGTGCAAAAGGATTCTCAGTTTATTCAACAAAGTATTATGGTACAGCTGACTCTTTAGCCTTTTAATTAATCCAGGTAATGATAATTCACTTTATTGAAACAACGAAAAAAAATTTATTAACCTCTTAACATATATATATATTTATAGAATTTTTATAATTACTTTGTTTCTACGTTAAACAATGATCCAAAATAAGCAGTTTCTGACAACAGTAAATTATCTGGCATAGTTGATTGTTGTAAGTAATCATTTCTGACAGCTTTCTCCAATATAGAAAAAAAAGAATCATCCTCATAATATTCATTTTCAGATTAACTTGTAAGTCAACCGAT